TGTGAGGTGCGCGCATTCCTCAAACGGCTCAAACTATTGGCAAACATAAATATAATTATGTAAAATAAAATACTTACCAATTTAGCTCCTTTATACTATACGTGACAGTGACACTGCAGTCATGAGAGATTGAGTACAACAAAACTTCCATAGTTCAATAGTTACTTACCTATTACGAAGTCTAGAGACTCATGACAACGAAAAAATTCTCATCATAGAAAAATCGTTATAGCATTACTTAATACTATGTATGGTTCTAATTAATTGATTATTGTTCTCAAAATTGTTAAGTTGGATGAACCGTTCAGAATGCAGAATTATTTAAAGCTCACACTTGATAACACAGGTACCTATTTAGTTTAATATTGAGTATTTAAAAAACAACATACAATATATCGCATGCATCATAATATTATAAACACATACTATTATTTGAACTGACTAATACAGAGGCACGAATTGGTTATTACTAACGGTGGGTCAGTGGATAGTGGATACAGGGAGGCTCCTTGAGGGAGCATTATATATACATTTTATAAGTCTTTATAAATATAATGCATTTGTAAGGATAGTAAATGGAAAAAGTTCTTGAAATAAAGGTCCCCAGAAAAAGTCCCAGTTATTCGTTAGTAAAATCATGAAAAAAACATAACTGTACATTTACATTTGGGTGGTTTAATATTAATTAAAATATTAAACATATCTACATGACTACAAATCACATTTTTACCAAGAGTAACCTGTCATTAATGCTCTTAAGAATATTATTGTTAGCCTCATAACAATAATAGGTTGTTTTTATCATTTATGCTTTGGCATAAATGTATACAAAAACTAGGTTTACAGACTAAATAAGTATCGTACAGACGAAGATTTCAACCATTTTTTAAGCTGTGCTAGATTATAAATTACAGCTAGATGTGCTATTTTTTAGTGATTTCTCCCACCAAGTCACGTCAAAAGTAAATGGATAATTTTAAAACTATTATTTCTTTAGACACGGAGAACTTAGTTAATTATTTTGATTAAATTGATGTAAATGGTTACTGGTCCTATGCGGCAGCTACAAGTAGAATAAGAAATTTATCTTAGTGTTTGGTTTCGTCGACTATTTTATTAATTCCTTCTTCCAACGTGGAATTTACACAAAAGTACCTAACTGAATAGTAGTAGAACCAACTACATGTTTAAGCGATGGAATGAAAGGTTCAATCATTTGATTGGGTACAAAAATCCATCGATTTGGAAATCATAGAAAAATATGAAAAACGAAAAGGGGGCTGATAAAGCTAGCTAACTTATAAGCGAAAAGCGACAATATATTAAAGGACATAATATAATGCAAACTCGATGTATACATTTATGCGATCAATTGACTAGAGGAGAATTGAGCGTTATTTTATTCTTGACTATAATGTAGACATTGTAGAGCATAATATAAGGATGAAATCTGATTAAATTGGTATAGTAATTATAATTTTTTAATTTTAATTTTAATGTACTTGTAAAATATAACTACACGTCTATATACCTGTAACACATGAATATCAAACAATACGTTTACAAATAAAAATAATAATCGACAAAAATACAATTGTGTTTATTTTTATGATTTTATTAACAGGGACTTTTTTCCGGCATTTGTAACTTTGTAAGTATAGGTATAGTATGTAAGTAGTAGGTATATTGCTAATAGCCAAGGCTCGGGAATAACACTTAAAATCATTCAAATACGCGCTTAAAAAAGCCTTAAAAAACATCATTATAAGCACTCAAATAAGCATTTAAAAAACTTAAATTTCAACAAAAATAAAAACTAAAAAATAAAAAAATAAATAAATCTTTATCTTTATATTACAAAAAAAAATTAAACTTCACTTTCGAGATTTTAAGGATTTTATGGATTTTCTGAAAAATAAAATGCAAACAATATTTACAAATAATTGAAAAAAAAAATTAATTAAATACGCGGCAACGTAGATAAGATAAGAATTATTTTTAATTTTAATTCTATCTAAAACAACTTAGCTAGAGAAAACCATAAAAAACTAGAAAAACTGATCGAAAAAGCAAAATTAATCATAAAATCTGGAAATTAGCATTTATTTAAAAAATCGCTGAAAAAAGCAAAAAAAAAGCACTTTCAAATTTCATAATTGAACGTGTTGTAACATGACATACACTTCCATAGCGATCTGCTACATTTTAAGTCAATCCATAAAAATAAGCTAATGCTTTAAGTTCCGAACCCTGCTAATAGGGCATTTAAACAAAATTTAAATATCAAGTGATCCGGGTCGCAAATTCCAATTATGACAGTATAAACTATAAATAATTTTTATTCCAGAAACCCGATGTCTTGAAAAAGTCACCGTGACAAAGCATCTAATATACGATTAATATAATGTCATGTTTATAGAGTATAAATAGACTATACTCTAAAAGGATTTAATCCCTTGAAACGAGTAAAGATATTATATTGAATAATAGTTAATAATTTATTCAAAATATAAAACAATATAGGTAAGTATCTAAAAAATAAATTGTTGTGTACCATTCAACTATGTACTAAAATTAACACGCCACATCATCGCATCGATTTTTAGTGCATCACAATTATACCCATCATTATTAATTATAATATAACAACTGTTACAGATTGTAATAATTAATAAGGTATGTAATCTATAAAATAGCTTATACACAAGTAGGTAACTTAATAGTATAATAATTAATACGCATTTATAACACTAAATAATGATTAATGGCATAGTCAAAGAGTCAATTTCCGTTCACTTGACATCTTTTTTGAGTACCTACCTAATAAAATCGATATATTTTTGTACTAAACTTATATTGTTTAAATAGCATCCATTCTTGTAAGTTGTAAGTGAATAACATAATAATTAATAAGTTATGCCGAGGAAATCGTGTTTTTAACCTTTTGCCAATAAGTTATATCGATCTACTTTATTAAACCTAGTTTATCTGTACCCAACACTTGCTATCAAAAGTCTGACGCGGTTAATCAAGTGTCTAATTGGATTGGAAAGTTTATCGTAAATAAGTTCGTAAATATAGGTTTAAGATGCTTATTATACCAATTCATTATTATTATCTACTATTTAAAATACAAATATGTAGGAAGTTGCAACTACACTTTTTAGATGTTTTTGATCTCGTCCTAATTTCGGCTGATAAGTAATGACTAATAACTGAGTAAGTAATGCGCACAAACGTAGTAGGTACATAATACACCAAACACCCAATATTTTAGTAGCATTGTATAAGTTAATTATAATATAATATTTTATATTATTTATATAAATTATTTTATGTCCAATCCATCATTATAATATTACACGTGCTAAAATTTAAGGAACAACACTTTTCATGCCTAATTAATAAACAACCCAATAAATGATGTCTGATGAACCACTAAAATGATTCTTCATTTGGACACATAATAATTTGTTGTAATATCAAGCTTATAGATGAATGGCACTATGGTAGCCCACAAATTATAATCATTTCTATTACTTGTTATTGTCATTTTGACATAATAATATAAAAAAATTATAAAAACTAAAAAGTAAGAAAATAACTAAATATAAACTTGCAGCTCATTGTAATTTACATATAATTTATTTTATGTCTATAGATTTGTGAGTCGTTAGGTAGGTACCTATTTAGAAAGATATATTATAATATAAGGTGAAAAAAATCAAACAATCAATTTTTCAAACTGAAAATGTTTAATATATACATCAGTTAGACGTTTAATAATCAGATCATACAGTAATAATTTCAAGTAACATTCACGTATTTGTAATGAACATATAAAATTAACATTGAAAATTGAACCAAAAATATTAAATGGATTTAACAAAGAATATTCATTGGGTATTATCACATTTATATTATATTATATTATGTTAACTCAGAAAGTTAATAATTTAACTTAAAAAAAAAAACAGGAACTTGCCAACAATGAATAAATTCCAAGTCAATACAGAAGAACACTAGAAGTTTACCAGGGGTACAGAAATTAATTTTGCTTAAACATACTATCTCAGACTTACAAAAGCATTGGACGGGGATAATATGATAAATGAGCAAAAAATAATAGAACAGGTAAATAATACAATATTTTAGGGTAACTTTAAATGTGCGATATGATTTGTACAAATGCATTTGAATTTTTCGAAATAATCACATAAGACATTGCATGGAAATACACAAATCAACCAATAATTTTTGATCACATTATGAATTTCAAATATACATTGAATCACATACAGTACACCTAAAAAAAGAAATTTCAGCGGTTTGAAACAAAAAGTAAAATACAGTAGAATCATGATGATCCGACACTCACAAAGCCAGTACTCAGTAATCTGGCATTTGTAGTGACTACCAGCTTTAATTTTATATTTTATGTAACGTTGGGATTTCTATCAGTTACATTTTCAATTGTAATGAAAATAAATAGGTACAATTTTTTATCTGATTTCTTTATACATTTAAATTTGTTATGATAATCTGGCAGTATTAATGGTCCCCAAGTGTCGGATTGTTAAGACTCTACTGTAGATTATAGAAGATTTCATTTTATATTTTAAAAATAGTTTATAACTTCTATACTTTATGCAAGCTGGGCTATAGAAATCAAAGAATATGACTACATTAAATACTCAAAACATAAATTAAATTTGAAAATAAAAAATAAAAACAAATTTTTCAAAATGGTTATTAAATTATAACATATTATAAAGTTAAATTATAACTTTAAATTAAATACAGCGAAGTAGTGAGTACTTAAATATTTAAACCATACACATAAATATTTCAATATTAATTAATATGAAAAATATTGAAAAAATGTATAGATTATAACTTACTTATTAGGTGTAATACTATTTGTTACACAATAAAATGACTAAAATTTGGATCGCAAAAGGCATTGATATTCTATATAATATGATAAGTAATTATACATGATTTAATTTATGTACACAAAAATAATACAAATCACAAGACTTCCTAAACTACATCAATTCGTGGGGAAGGGGAGGAGGATCAAGCAAAATAATATTACATGTAATAGATATAAAAGTAAATAAAAAAATATGCTATAATAAAAAATTATCATTATGACTTACAATAAATTTCAGTGCTACCATTTCGATGTCTTCACTATCACTACGGGTGTCATTGAACCCTCCAATCAATTATAAAACAAGTTAAATAATATTTTATATAAAAAAAACAATTAAATTAATTTAAAATATGGTTTTAATAACAACAATAGTCATGGCAGGTTGAGAAGGATAGAGTAAGTTATATACTATTTATATTGTCTATTAGTTTATAAAGAATAATATTATAATGTAAAGACGATATGCTCATTATTGTTTTTCTCTCTAATACTGTCACAATATTGTTTTATAAATTGTCATGGTAATTGGCCTCCAATTGAAATAATTATCACACCGCTTTACATAGATGTATAAATCATTGTGAAAAAGAAAAAGAAAAAAGAAAACTATTTAACGGATAACAGGGCTTGTTTGCCATGTTTAATGAGGTAATCACTGAGGCTGACACTGTCTGGCCATTGTTTTACTGCAATGAATAACCCAGCAACTACAGCAGTTGTAGTAATTATTCTTAAACGAGTTCTTAAAAAAGGCATTAGAATACCAGCAAAAGTGGCAACTAGGAGTAACACTACCTGGAGCACAGTAAGTAACACATTTATTAATTTGACCACTAACGCACGAGCATTAGAATTGTCCAATCCTTCTAACGTTACATACTGTTGATGCTGTGCCTGTTGATGTTCCATTTTAGACATTTTTGTTTGACACGCTTCAAGCATTTCATGAATATCACGAAGTCTCTCTTCACTCTGGTACTGCACTTTTTCTTCCATATCTGTGATGGTTTGTTTAAGATTTTCTACTTCATTCTGATGTAGCTCAGTGAGATCATTTATTTGCTCTTCGAGCCGCTCAGTACGAAAGCGTTCTTCCTGAAGGGAATGGTTTAAAGATGCAATATCTTTGGATACTAACTGTTTAATGTGTTCCATTTTTGAGCGTAAATGATCTAATTCGGCCCAAACTGGTTCCAAAGAAGTAGTTGCGGATGCAGGAGGTGGTGGCGCCCCAGGACCTGTTCGCGGTGGTATTGATTCACTAGTCACAGAACTAGAAAACAGTATACGATAGTACTTAACTATATGTATAACCAATAATTTGGTATACAATCAATATTACCCCAATATATTTAAAATGGGACAAATTGAAAACTTTGTATATAATTTGCTCATGATCCAAATGAGTGAACATTAACAAAAAATTATTACCTGCATTCTGAAGCCCCATCTTCACTACGAGATGCGGCAGCACCAGTAGTTGTTGCATGAAGTCCAACACCGCCTGGTAATGTAGCACTGCCATGATGGTTACGACCACTCTGTTTATCACTATTATCTTCAGTTAGATCAGCTTCACTTGATCCTTAATTGAATAATTTACAATTTAACATTCTAGTTTTAACATTAAAAAAAAAGTGTAATGTTTACTTGATATTGAATTGATATTGTCAGCACTACCAAACTTATTCCGAATTAGATGAGCAAATTCTCGTGGTTTTGACATCACCGATCTAAATAATAAATATAACAAAAATAATTTAAAGCAAATCGGTTGCTTAAAAACAAAGAGGTGATCAATATTAAAAATACTTCATTATTTTATGTTGCCATTTTGCCTAATACTGTGCAATACAAAATTAATATTTATATTAAATAAAACAATAATTAGCACTGTCAGTTGTTATGAGAAATATTTGGTCTGCCCTAGAGCTTTGTAATTTCTAACCAAATTAATATTGTAAGTATACAATTTAAATTATTTTTATAATTTAATCAAAGCTTTTAAACTCAAGTATAAAAAGAAAGATTAATTGAAAAGACTTGTACAACAGAAAAATAATATTTTAATAGATAAGCAGTATTTATATTTAAAAATATCAGCCAAAACATTAAAACAAAAACTAAAAATAAGGAATTTAAAAGTTGATAAAAGATTCACATACAAGTATATAATACACATAAATTGTACTATTTAAAATAAACAATATTTTAATAATTACCTATAGTGAAAAATGTCTAATATGAAGCAAATAATTTTTAAAAAAAGCGAATTGCTTTTATGTCTAAATCATATTGCTGACTAAAATTGTATGTTATAGAACAATTTTAATTCTATAGCATCATCAATAAAGATAATTTTTTATTTAACCCATAAATTATACAATGTCATAAAATATGTTAATTATCTTGGTGTTTCAATGTACTTTATTATGTTTTACTAATCTATAGACCTCAATAAAAAAATAATAATTTAATTGATTTATAATCCATACATATGTAAAAATAAATAGGTAATCATAGTTTTGAAGATTAATATAATATGTCAGTAATAAAATGTGTGTCTTCAATTAACTATAGATTATTAACATAATAATTATTATTGGTCTAATGATTAAATGCAAATATTTTTTCATAATCAAATGAAAAATTTCAATATTGCCAATATCCAAATAATCTACTTTGCCTATAACATTATGAATTTAAATTGAAGACATCTATCATGAATAAATTAAAATTTAAGATTATTAATTAAAATAAAACATACAAATTTCAAAATAATGAAATTGTCTTAAAATATAATATTTTAATATTCCCTATACTAATTCTTTATCTAAGAATTTAAAACCAATTCAGTTTTGAATTTTTTAATTTTTGAATAATATCAACTAACAATTAAGTATTGTGATGATTAATAAGTAATAACTATTATAAAATTAAAAATAATAATACATTTGTCTAAAATAAATGTTTCATTAGCATCATAGTTTTTTTAAATCTAGCTTAGATTTTGATTATAATACATAATATATTTAAATGTAAAAAGTCTGCCTCCCTATAGGTACTAAAAAATGTGCATCCTTAATTATATATATATAGCATAAAAACAGTGAATAAAAAACCTTAATTAATATGATACCAAATAGTAATTGAAATGAATCAATTATGTATGATATTTAAAATAATAATTATGATATGATATAATTATATTTACCCAGATAAACCAGAAATGCCATCTCTTATATTTCCGCCAACATGCCTAAAAAGAAAATTATTATTATAAATTAATAATTATATACAGTAAGCTAAATATTTACCTTAGACCATGTCCAACATCTCTTAACATCTCTTTTGGTTGTTTCAAATGATGTGATGTTGTGAGCCCATGTGTTTCTAAGTCTTTTAATCGCTTATTATAACCTTCAAGTTTTTTTTGTAATTGTGATATACCAACAGCAGATTTTTGATTTTTTTTTTCAAATATTGACTTAATACGGGCCAGTTGTTGTTTATCTGCATTTGATGCCAATTTTAAATACTCATTGACATTATCTACAAGCAAACATATTTATTAACATTAATTAATTATAATGCACATCAAACATTATTTTCAAAACGATTATACACAATTTAATAACAACATTTTTGTAATTATAACTTCTGAATTTTAATGTCCTATTGACAGCAACTATCCAAAAATAAATTCAACAACAATAAGAAATCATTTATATAGTATTTTTTACCATCTCTTGCTGTTTGTTCACTTCGTATCAAATCTTTAGTACGCACAATTTTAGATCGGACATGATCCATTGCTGCTCTGGTTTTTGTACCATCAGAATCATCAGCAAGTTCAGCACCATTGTATCCACCATATGAATAAAATAAATCCTATGAATATAAAATTATTATTATTCTGATTTCATAATAAACATTCAGTAGTAGTATTCATCTATTTTACATACACCATCATCTTCATTGTTGCCACATGGGTTAGGTTCTTCACTAGATGCATAACTTGATAAATTATCAGGTCTAATAAGTCCTGTGTCTGCAGATCCTCCTCGTTCATGACGAACCACTCGAATACTTCCTGATGACCCCACAGGAGATTTACATCTGCTCATGGCAATTTCATCAGCAGAAAAACTAATTGAAAAGTTTTGGTCACATTTATAAACATATACTAACATTTTGATTATGAAAGTAGATATAAGATCACAATAATATATTGATTTGTTGCAAATAATGGTACTTTATAGCTATACTTTTGAGCAAAAATAGTTTGGAATTTAGCAAGAAAAAAACAGAACAAACTTTTTTAATATTTTTTGTAATCTAAAATTAGTCACCAAATAACTGGTTTTAAATTATTTCGGAAATGCAATTATTTAAATATTTTAAGAATGATAAATCAAATTTATAGTTTAAATATTACAAATTGTATAAAAGAAAAATAATAATTTATTATTTTTTAATAAAATAAATAACTAGGTTTTTGTACATAGGTAGGTTCATAGTCCATACAAATTAATTATGTAAACTTGACACAGAAAAATTAGACCTTATAAAAATTATTTTAAATAAATTAAACTCCAATATTTTATTTCAATTATTCTGCAGACTAGTAACAACTACTATTAAATTAACATATTAATTTTAACCTAGGTAATTAAATGAATATTAAAGTCTCATTTAAAATTTTAATCATCATATTCTACTTTAATTTATAAGTAATATATTATTATTTTGTGCAAAATCATTCATTCACAAAAGAAATACATTCAGCTCAACAACTGAAATAACACTAGACATTTACAATTGACAAACAATAGGTAAATAACGTGAAATGTGAATAGTTATCTAAAAAACTATTACACGAGATAACATGGGATCAAAGTTACTGGATAATGGTTATCATACCAATGGAATTTTTATTGAACAACAAACAGATAAGAAATTGTTTCATTAATAAAAAAGGCAGCAGAAATGTTTTATACAATGTTTAGTATTAGATAAATTGGTTATCTATAATTTTAATTTTAACTATTTTAAGACTGGCTAAAGTCCTTTATTATTATTTTAAGTATCTTTATTGTACCACTTTTTTAATTTTGTTCAATAAAAGTAATATACGGTTTGAGATTTTTAGCAATAAACAGTTTTATTTGTTTATGTTTAGAAAAATATGTAGTATCAATTTGATAATGGCAATAACAAGCCATAAAATTACTAATGTGTATATTTTGTGATTAATTTAAGAAGTACATATTTCTCAAAATTGTATACTTACGTAGCAGCATTCCATGGTTTATTAGCCATCTTAGGCATTGGATTTTGTGAAGGAGAAAAACTCCGACTAGACTTTGATATCCTAATGTCAGGCGTCAATGCATCCATAAAAATTGTATCGTATAAAACTCATCTCTGAAAATGATAAAAAAAAATTTGTATTCAAGTGAATAATAATACGATTCAACAACTTACATGTAATTTAATTTTTCCACGTACAAACTGGATCCTGTAAAATTAAAAGCAGGAAATAACCTTGAGTTTAATTGCCTCAAGAATTTAATAAAAACAAAGAATCCCTACAAAACTAAACCAATGTCAAGTGCCAACAGGTGCAAAGGGTTTATGCAAAACCAGGTATGGTACCCGGAGCTACAGTACATTTTTCAGATCGATGGGATTTCTTTTCGTATCAATATAGAGCATCGGACCGAAACTAATCGATTGTTTCGACAACCGGTTGACCTTAAAAAGAAACCACGACGTCTATCGCTGGTGTCACCAGGTCGAAACAAATTGCCATTTGGATTGCAATAGGTACCCGACGGAACACGGATGAGAACGTTTTTCTACTCACTCGGACGTCATGATTGCATGACTGTAAATTAGAGTTGCCAGATTAACGGCAGCATTTTGGAGTGAAGCTTCGCAACAATACGTTCAGGGTAGACAGCGAAACATCCATGGCTGGGAGACAATAATACAACCCCAAACGAAGAGGATCTTGTGTGTTTTTATTGTTTATTCGTTGCTTGTGTGTTTGTTTGTAGCGGAAAAAAATCGTCGGACAGCGTACTGCAACACCTAATACCTATCGCGAAACGACAACACACAAAAGGCGAAATTTTGCGTCAGATAAGTAATCACGAACAGATGATCGTCTCGCGGACGGTGGGCGGCGACGAGACGTCCGATGTCCCAGCGCCATCTGTCTGCTCGTGGTACTCGCTATAAAAAAAAATCTGAACAATAATAAATAACAATATTATTCATTTAGCACGAAATTGTGTGAGCTCATGCAGCCGTGAACTATCAACTGTATAAATGTATAATAATATATTACTGTAATCAGGCCATTAGAATTCGACTAGAGTCAACTTTAGAGGTACTTAAGAAATAAGTCATACCACACACATTGTTCATAGCTGCAGTTTTAAAAGAGCTCCAAATCTAGTTAAGCCCCCTCAAATTTTTGTTTTTCAGAAACCTAAGAAATTGAACGTTTTTAAAACGATCGTGATATTACTAGAAGAAAATCTGTTAACATTAGTTGTTCAATTATGCTCAAAAATGTATGCAAATACTCGTAAAGGTAGGCTCAATTTCTTATTTTTGGAAAAATTACTTGAAAATCAATTTTTTTAACTGTGGTTTAGGACAGTTTAAATCGAAAATATCAATCAACTTGCTATTCTGAACCATATCGGGTAGGTAACATATTATAGTTCCTAAGTAGAAAAACTCATCTTTTTGTCGGCACCCATCCTAAAAATCAAGCAAAAGGATACTCGCATTTGTTTTGGCACCATCGTGTTTAAAACTTATTGATATCGTATAGACCAGCGTTTTTCAAAGTATGGGTCGTCAGTCAATTTTTGGTGGGTCGAGAACATTTTTTTTAATTTTATAGATTCCAAGAAATGTATGTTAGGTATACCTCATTATAAAAAGTACATTTTAATCATATTAACTATATTTTTATTCATATTAATTATAAACCTATAAAAAAACAAAATAGGTACCTAATAAAAATGTATACATAGGTATTTATATCAACAAATTGTTGAAAAGTGAAACAATGTGGGTCGTGAAAGATTTTTCAGGGGAAATTTAGGTCACGGTATTAAAAAGATTGAGAACTACTGGTATAGACCAATAGATACCTAATAATTAGTTCAAATACATGGGTTTTTAAAAAATATATATTCAGAAGATTACTCTTTTAGTGTTTTTTTTTTTGTGATATATTTGTCTATACCTACCCTATACCTAATTCAAAAACTAGTGATTTCCGCAATTTTTTGTTTGACACTATCGTTGTTAAGACTTTCAGATACATGGTTTATAATATGCTCAACTAGATATTATATTGTAAGTAAAAAAATATCGGCTGTATCGTAAATTGTTATTTTTGTTAACACGTAAGTACACATAACAATAACATTCCTACCTAATATAAACAATGTTGACGCCAATAACCAAGCAGTCAAGGCGTATTCTTTTAAACAAAATATAAATAACTAAAGTGTGTGTTAATTTTTTATGTCGAGTGGCTGACATCTTTCACTCGAGGACTGCAGTGCAATTATTTTAAATATATGAATCAACCTCTGTGTATAGTTTAACGCACTAACGAGGGAATCATAAAATTAAAACATAGAACAATTGATAAAAAGCTAACCCGTAGTAGGTACATATTATTATTATATTTGTGTTTGGTGGGTGGCGTGACAAAAGAAAACTTTTTAGGTCTTATATCACGTCATAGTAATGATAATATTTAGCTGGCTGTGCACGAATCATTATGAGATTTATAACAGTCGGGTACAAAATGGCATAAAAACGGCAGTACCGTAATATAAAATGTATTAAAATAATGAAAATTCGGTCAGCGGAGATTGGAGAATGACATTTAATATTTATTATTATTTCGCGATTTCGGATCTACGTAAAAACGTAAAAGAAAAGAAAACAATTCTGCTAATGCGCATGATAGCAAATCATGTTGCCAATAGTGATAACGAAAACGGAATCGACCGAATCGTAACGCCGCGATGTCATGAAGTCATCGCGGTAGGTATTTAAGTTCGGTGAACCATGAAGTGAACCGCCACCGACGTCGGAAGGGAAAAGAGGATGCGGTTTCTCGGGTCGTTGGCGCCAGACGAGGTTCCCTCTATAATTCTATACTCGAATAACCCATCGCACTTGAGTGCGGGTCGTATACGTATATCTGGTGCAACTATACGACTGCTGCACGCGTGCACTCTTTAAATTAATAATCGGCGTACACTGCACTTGTATTATCATGTACAGTCTACAGCAGAGTCATGAGAAAGGCGCCATTTTATATTAAATATGCAACAACAGAACGATTCGGTATATCAGCGTATTACAGCCATCGCAGGGGAAGTCTTGTTTATTGTTTAATATAACTATATTACAACTCATCTACGGTGTATCAATCGTCTTTATGTTTAAAGGATTAGCAGGTACCTATATCTAATGCCTTAAAGTATTATTTGGCAATAATTGTTACGATTTTGAATCGTTACTATTTAGGTTCCTAAATTACTTATCACTCAAGTGATTTTAATATTTTATACTGTATCGCGAAATGGCTAAAATAATGGATTTAATTCGATATTTTTACAATGTCATCATAATTTATCATGATTAATGATCTACAAAAATGCAACATAATGTGTATTATCAAGGTTTTATTAATAACATTATTAGAATACGATAATAAATTGGTTCGAAAGCTCGAGCAATAAACACCACATACCTAATCTACTATGTATATAAATATAATCAAATATTAACACCATAAATTTCCCGAAGGAAATAGAGGAACACAACTTTATAGAAGCACTAATTATGTAATGAAAAATACATGTAATTACAATGTAAATTGAAACTAATAGTTTAGAAGTCGATGATGTAACTATGATCAATAAAAATGACAATAAATTAGTTCAGATGTGAGTATGTGACCAACAGGTTGATCACAGCATGAATTTGAGTCGTAACGATTTCTTTTTGTCTATTCTAACATTTTTTTTCAGGAAACAATTCAAAAACAAAACTGTATGGTGAATATTTCCATTTGTTTTTGATTCTAAGATTACAGATAAATGTATTGGTTTTTATATTATTTATTCATTTGTATGCGCATAAAGACAATTTTTGTAGTATAAAAATTGTTATCGTCTACTTCGATATGGGTTTCTTGTAGAAAACTATATGTAGTTGTTGCTTTTAGATGGTGGAAATGGAAAATTATCTATTACTTTTTAAAATAATTAGGGAAAACTAAAAAATGTTTGACATTTGTTAAAATTGTATTATCATTATTACCTAGGTAAATAAATTGTTTAGTAGCCTGATTGGTTATAGGTTAAGTTATAGCTGGTACTGTCTGTTTCAAACCCTTCAACATTTTTCATAAAAACCTTTTTGGGTTTCATGATTGAAAGATATATGTGATAAATGGATTGTAATTATTATGATACAATGTATTATTCAGAGCCGGATGAAGGATCAGAGTCGCCCAGGAGCAATATATATTTGATAGGTACTTTTTACCAAAAGTCATTAAAATAATATATGTATTTCATGTAATATTATACATTTATATGAATCTGTTAAACAGCTTAATAAAAATACAACTGGTACCTTGTATTATTTAGTAAATAACTACACAAGTTTAAAACTACAAATTATTAAAATCTTTAATTCATACATGTACTCACTCATTATAATTTATAATGATTAAAGTAAATACAATATAATACAAACAAAAATTTAATATTTACCCATGGTTAACAAATATGTTTTTTCTTCATTTTGACCGTTGCAAATTTATCAACAAGTTTCTCCCACTTAATTTCTCTAACTATTTCGGACTCGATGCACAGTATTAACAAATCTGACATTTTCTCTTGGTCTAAAGATGATCTTAAATAATTTTTTATTCTTTTCAAAACCGAAAACAAACTACGTTCGCCGCTAGCATTTGGAGATGGTAGGATACAGATAATTCTTAAAATAATTTCTATGTTAGGAAATTACGTTTCTAATGATGATGTTATTACAGTTTTATGCAATGTAATAAATGATTTCTTATTTTCAGCTGAAATATTTGCCATATACTCTTACATTGTATTAATTCTTCTCCCAAGTCGCTTTCTAAATCTATATTATAAAATTCAACTAGATTGCTACTCTTTTTCAAATGTTATCTAATGATTCGTTTTCAACATTAAATAAAAATCCAAATTTAATTCAGTGTAACTTTCCATTCTCCTATTTAATTCAAAAATTAATTTGTCAATAATAACTAAAAATGTTTCATTTTTCATTTTTAACTTCCCATAAAAATAACGTCCAATGTTCTTATCACCACCTAATAATACTGGTCCAATTTTTTTTCTCTTAGATTCCCAAACAAAATATGTCTCATAAACTTTTTGAGATTTCGCTTCTTCCAAAAATGTATAGAAATAATTTCGAATTTCTTCAATTTAATCCTTCGATGAAGTATATAATGAAATTACATTAGACATTACCTACATATAATAGGCGCATGTACGCCTTTAATAACAAAGATAAGACTATAACAAGCGTAGTCAACGAGTAACGACGTGGCACATGAAATCGATTAGACAAAACTATGGAAGTCATTTATTTATAACACAATTTTACAAAATTCTATTTAGACTATAATTATTATTTATTACCACTATAATAATTTTTATACAATGCGCTAATCCATCTTAATAATATTATTGACACATTATTCAGTGCTATTGCTTATAATTTTATATTTTAAAATATTATATTACTCGATTTAACGTTGAAAAAACATGTTCACAATATTTAATATTTTTATAACAAAAGTTGTTTGCCACATCAAAGAATTTGCAGCTCTGGAGCATTTTGCAATAAAGATTAAAAATATATATTCGATCGTAGCTGAGTGTCTATCTGTATTGCGAATACCTAATCACTTGGCCATCTATTCATATTTCTTCATTATTTCTTTCTTTAAAGTTAAAACCATTAACTGCATCATATAGGTAATATTGTATACACCAATCGCACCTACGAACAGTAAAATATTACAAATCACAGGCCATCTGTATAAACAATAT